CTGGAGGTCGCAGCAGTGCTTCCTCGATCTTAGAGCAGGTTCTCACCAGCCGGCACCTCCTCCCCAACCACAGCCACATCTCAGCTGCCCCTTCTTTGGCTTTGAGGAGCCTACGTTCTCAGCCTGCGTCTCCGCTCTGCTTGCTTTTGGCCTGCAGTCGGCGGTGGACAGCGCCTTCTCTGTCCCCACTCGCGTCCCCCTCGAGCCTTCGCCTGTCTCACCCACTAGGCCACTTCCGCCCCCGCTAGCCCACTTCCGCCGCTTTGTGAGCTCGGTTGCATACATGTTAAAAAAAAGTCACTTTAAAATTTTGAAAGTGAGTAGAATTTGAGGCTGACTTTGTTTTTTTTCCCCCCATGACACCTCAGTTCATTATAGTTGTCTGAATGCAAAATTAATCTGATTAAATGGGTGCACCTTCCCCACATCCATGGCATTTTGCTAAGACATTCAGATCTTTAGGCAACTGATACTCCTGTTAAACATACTTGGCGTCATCCTTCTGAAATACAAACGTTCATCTCTTTTTTCTTTGAGAAAGATTTTTGCTATTGGGCACATGTGCTCGACAGAGAGGCAGAGACAGAAAGTGAGAAAATCACCTCCCAGGGACCATGGCCACACCACAATCCCATCTCCTCCATTCTCCTCTCGGGATTCTGGGCATGCATATGCATGCGTCCAGCGTTAAATTTCAAGCCTCTGAGTCCAGGACTCAAACTGTGGTCTCCTATGTGGGTGTCTACCACGTTAATCACTATGCCACTTGCTGGCCCCCATATGTTCATTTCTTTTAGATCTGAAAAGCATCATATTCCTAAATTCATAGCTTAGGCTTTACTCAGTGAGCATGTGATGTGATTTGTGTGTGGTATGATTATTAGCCCTTTAATGTTATTGACACCCCAGCCCCATTAAGTGGTCAGTGATGTGAATGCGTATCGCAGTTTTGACTGTCAGTTTGCTTATGTTCAAGGTACTGTGCTGTTTTAGATGACTGTCATATCTTCAGCAAAGAAATAGTAACTATAAACCCGTGTTTTGTTATACTGTGTTGCTATTTTGGAGATACTTAGTTATATTGAAATTTTTATGGAATCTTTTCTAGAACTAAATTCATATGTCTTGGGAACTAGAAGAGACATTCTCCCTTAGGGTATGCCGGAAGAGGAGCGGGTTGTTTTGATAATGAAGTGAGACCTTACAGAAATATTTCTGGAGTAGCTATAATAGTTCAGAAGACCAGAAAGGAGAATTGTTTTTCTTTCAATTTCAGCGTTTTGGGCAGCAGACACCTGGGAGACCTTTTACATTGCCTGTTTATTTCTGCGCGTGACCTAGACCTGTTTTTATGTCTTGTAACTAAAGTAACGGAAATGCTTTTCATTTTCTCGGCAGGAGGTGGAATAAACTGAGACTGCGGGACAAAGAGAAGTGCCTGAAGCCTGACGAGTCTGAGGAAAGCGATGCTGAGTTTGACGAAGGTTTTAGAGTGCCGGGTTTTCTCTTCAAAAAGCTCTTTAAGTATGTGCCCTGTGTTCTGCCGTTGCTGTTTGTCCCCAGGCCACTGTGTCCAGTTCCTGCTTTAGGAATTACGCGGTAGTCCCCTGGGGGCCTGTAAGGACTTGCAGCAGTGCAGTGCATATACAGACCCTGTCAAATGCGAGTCTGGCCACGCGCTGTCCATTAGAGACATGGCAAGCTGACCGGGCGCTGGGCGCTTGTGAGCTGACGGGCCTGTGCGGAGCTGTCGCGGCAGCCCGAAAGCCACGCAGTTAAAACCATCTACATTCAACTGTTTTCTGGTTCTTAGTTGTTTTAAGGGAGCAAACTTCTATCAGATTATTAAGAGTTGTGTATTAAAATGAGTATTGGGGAGTTTTTATAATTACCACATAGAAATACAAAATGTCAAGATTATTTTCTGTGTTTCATATTATACCTAAGGGCGTAATACTTTTGAGCTGACCAAATGTGCACTTAAATATTTCATGTAAATGTCGTTCTAATGTTGAAAGAGAAGCTGGAGGCGACACCTTGAGGACCGACTTGCTCTTTGTAGCTGCCTAGGTTTCTGTGTGAAGGGCCTGGGGGTAGGGAGGAGCGGAGGCTGCCTGGAGGAGGATGCTCACGGTCTGTGTGGGCCCGCGAGCTTCCCTGAGAATGCAACACTGAGGAACCTTTGCTCGTCCCTCCTGGGGTGCACTTAGCGTGGTGCTTTAGGAAGGCTTCCTACACGCCCAGAAGAAGCTAAACCACTGGATAGCTTCTTTCTGTCTGCTTTGGATGAGCAATTTATAGTTGAAACAGGATGTAAAATTTCTTTGAGATGATTAAGTTTTTTCTCTATAGATTTAGCCTTTGGCCATGCCCTAAACTTGTGGAAGATGCCTACTTAAAAATAGAATGCCCTTTACATTTTTCTCTCAAAAAGCTTATATTGTAGTTTTAGTTTTTCTCTCTATGGGTGGGGCAAAGGGGTGGAGAATAGCTATTTTGTCCTAGTTTGTGTAGGAAAGCTGAATTCTAAAGATGCAAAGTGACTGGACTGGTTGAATAAAACTGGGCAGTGGGAGAACCATGGAGAAGTTACAATCTGACTGGCTCTGGGAATTTTTCAGATAAATCATTTTACAGCCCAGGGAGATGGCTACTTTGTTCATTATTTCTCCCAAGTGCTGACTGTAGAAAGATACATAAAGACAACACTGATTGGCAGTTCTTTTCATTTTCTCTAAAGTGATGGTTTATTAAAGAACAAATCAAACAGTATCAGTGTTATACTAGCAAAAGGAATACCCAGATTTTAGATTAAATTGAACAGTGGGTAACGGGCTGCTCAAGAGAAGCCAGATCCCATGTGGCACCCCTGGTTCGCGTCCCTGACCTGGGCAGGCTGAAACAAACCCAGCACATGTGGGTGCCCCAGATCCGAGAGCTGGAGGCCTAGAGGGCGGGCATCAGCTCTGGCCTGTTCAGACCCTGTGGAGGCCCCCCCTTTCTCTCTCACGTTTGTGCACACGTACTGTGTCATGAATAGTGTTTAAAGGTTGTTATTGACAGCACAGAGGATACTTGTACAGCAATAGTAAGTGATGTGGCAAATACCGCCAGGAGTCAAGTTGAATATGCATTTTTGTATAAATGTCAGGTTTTCTAGCAAAGAAATTTCAGTTAATGGAACCAAAGTTTGCTAAGCCTGCACAGGATTCACTGTATTGATTATCGACCCTCTGGTAATTAGTTAGCATAAGCACGTTGGTTTTTAAAATTAGTCTTAATCGCATACTCCTAGAAAGCATTTTGTTGTTTTCATCTCTACAGAAGCAGAATTTTAAATATTTTATAAATATCTTAAAACTTTTGTGTTTTTTTTCTGCTGTTTGAAAAAAGTAGTAAGATTGATAGTCTCCTCTTTTCTCTTATGATTCAGTTTTAGTCAGGCCAATTTAATTTTAAACTGTAGATATGTTTTTACTGTATTTACTGCACTCTGTGGAATTGAATTAACAGGGTATATAGCTGTGCACGGGGGAGTTAGAATGTACAATTATCCGTTTAAGTGCTATTTTCTGCAAGGTAACGGTTAACTTTTAAATTTCTGTTTTGAAAGTTTGCCCGGCAAATGCATTTGCCTATGTAATTTAGCCATCGGTTGACAAACTTCAGTCCTTTGACCTTCCTTTCAGCCATGCTCGTAAGTGCACTCTTAGATCGGTGTGGCAATGCCAAGGCAGACCAATTATCTGCCGTTATTTCGTGATGCTCAGTCTTATGGGGATAGGAGAGTACAGTAATTTCCTAACTATTGCAGTTTATAAAAATCATTCATTTTTCCTAAAGAGGTTTTTTTTTCTTTTCTTTCTTTTTTTTTTTTTTTATTGCCAGAGGGTGCACGTGCAGAGACAGAGAGAAAGCACCCCTCAGTGGGGCATGGCCATACTGCGATCCTTTGCCTCCCATTTCTCCATCCTGTTGGGATTTGAGGCATGCCCCTACGTGTGCCAGCATGTTTAAGCCACTGGGGCCAGGACTTGAACCGCAGTGCCATGTGGGATCCCATTCAGCTCCCGTCACTACTAGGTCATCGGGCAGGCCAGGCAAAAGAGTACCTTGTAAGTGCTGTTCACAGGTTTCGAAAACCAAGTTCTGTGACCTGTTTTCATGTAATTCTGTAACCTGTTTCCAACATAAGTGCTTTACGGTGTTTATTATTAGAAAAGTAAAGCTGTAGAACCAGAGTCACCCAGTGGCACTGCCAGAACCAGGGTCCACGTGTGCTGCCAGGCCCCTCCTTCCTCACCTGGCAGTGTGCGCCTGCTGACCAGTGTAGCTGGCCCTTCCGGAGGTGCGCCTGGGCTTCTTCAGCTGTGCTCCGAGGGCCTCGTGTGTGGGTGGCAAGGAGCTAGGCTGCTGTCTTTGTACCAAGTCCCAGTTGGGATTTCTGTGTAGAGGTGTGACTTCCAGGGCTGCCTGTGTGATATTTCTCGTAGTCGTTTCTTCAGCGCTATCGTCTTCCTGTCTGGAAGCCCTTTGCGGTTGTACTTGTAGACGAGGAGACACCAAGCACACTGTTCTGCCTCTCCAGGGCCCACCCAACCCAGCTGTCCTGACCCTTCCGGCTCCTCCTGGGATACCACACTGGCCCCACCACTTTTCGGAGTTTCTTGATTGCCCCTCCCCAGATTCTTACCACTTTAATGAAGCTCATGGTCCCACACAAAGAGAGGTGTTGGGCCCCTGCTACCTGGAGGCGGCGTCCTCGTGGTAATGCCCGTTTGGTCACGTGAGAGTTTGGTCCCAGAGTTGTTTTGTGCCTCAGTAAAAGGAAGTCAGTTGACTAGAATCCAGTGATTCTGGAAGCTTGTTGGCACATTAGTTTTTTGTTGTTGTTTTTTGATTTTGGAGTACCTCTTTTTCCAAAGCTGAGCTCATTCCAGTGTAGCCTGCCTATGAAACTGGCCTTTGTCCTAGGTCGGGGGTTCTCGACCTTGGCACAGTCAGCATTTCAGGCTGGATGTGGCGTTGCCGTGGGGCTGTCCTGTACGTGGTGGGGCAGCGTCTGTGGCTGGATGTGGCCTTGCCGTGGGGCTGTCCTGTACGTGGTGGGGCAGCGTCTGGGGCCGGGCGGGGCGCTACCTT